TACCATTTTCATTTCACTCATTTCATATTCACATTGTTGCTCTCATTATTCTGTTCCATTCATTTACTTATTCACACCTTTTGCTTATAATTTTAATAGGTATTTACTTGAATTAAATAATTTTATTCACAAATTTTTTTAACTAATATTGAGTTGAAAATATACTTTATCATAAAAACTTATAATTTATGAACAAATAATTATTTAAAATAAAGTTAATAATTTTGCTTCCACTCAAAGGAAGTTTTATAGTCATGTCAATTTTCAAATTTCTTAGAATCAATTATTTTTACAAATTTTCAAGTGTAGTATATATGTCGTAGGCAAGTAGAGAAATTAGTCAAGTAGCTTAATGCCTAGGAATTAAGCTACATTTTGGCAAATAGAAGAATGGACAGGTTTTGTAAACATTATTTATTTATTGTCAACGTTAATTTGAATTTTGTCTCATTTAATTTGAATTGTAAATATTGAAAATGAAAATTAGTTTCTTGCTATCTGCTTTGAGTAACAGTTGATTTAATATGTGCTATCGATAATGAAGAATAATATTCTAAATCAAATTGAATTTGAAAGTAAATTAGAAGAATGTAAAAAAAACAAGTAATATCGTTGTATGTGGAAAAAAAACATCTCGAAAATGTAAAAAAAAATATTAAAAGATATAAAGTAAGGTGCTGCAAAACATCCATCTTTACTACTTTTATTTAAACACTGCATTTTGTTGCAACAAGTGAAACAAAATTCATATTAGCGTTGACAATAAATAAATAATGTTTACAAAACCTGTTTATAAATCGATGCTTACTATTTTCGGATTTTTCAAGGTGTGTTAAAAATGTAATACGATTACTTTCAATAAAGTTTTTTTGGTCTTAAGATGCCCTCCTTCTTAGAGGCGCCCAGTAAAAAAAAAAGTATTCAGAAAAGAGAAAAAGTATTGGTGGAGACGTTCGGTGAATGTGTTTTCGCGACAAAACCGTATTGGTTTATGGTGAATACATTTTGCTTACCGTGAATACTTTTTTTTAAACTCTCGATTTAAAGATTCCTAAGCAAAGTTGAGAATATTTATAAAGAGCGTAAGTGACCTGAAGTATAAAAATGACGATTGCGAGAAGGAAATAAGAAATTTTGAGAAAAAACGAAAAATTAAATGTGACAAACCTACAACGTATGATGATGAAAAGGAACATTGACGATACCGACAGAAACTTGAAAAATCCAAGTAAATGTATGTGAAACATTAAGTTCCGCCGGTAACGTCAAAGTTCCTTTTAATCATCATACGTTGTAGGCACAGAAAAGCATATGGTACTTGATCAACATTTGACAATCTGTTTGTCACATTTAATTTTTCGTTTTTTCTCAAAATTTCTTATTTCCTTCTCGCAATAGTCATTTTTATACTTCAGGTCACTTACGCTCTTAATAAATATTCTCAACTTTGCTTAGGAATCTTTAAATCGAAAGTTTAAAAAAAAAAGTATTCACGGTAAGCAAAATATTTAGTAGTATATATATATATATATATATATATATATATATATATATATATATATATATATATATATATATATATATATAGTATATAGTATTCACCGTAACCCACCAATACGGTTTTGTCGCGAAAACGCATTCACCGAACGTCTCCACCAATATACTTTTTCTCTATTCTGAATACTTTTTTTTTTACTGGGCGGTCATATATTGTATCTGTTTTGGAATTTGGTTTTTGTATTATTATAACCTATTCATTTTTAATATTTATTTTACTATAGGTAAAGCGAAAAAAAGAAAAGTGGAAGACACATCTATAAAAATACATAATGAAAAAGAAGAAAATAAGCGAACCAGGCACTAAGAGAAAATGAGTAGTATCTTATGACTTATTTTAATCACACTGGAGAAAAGAAAGGAATAATAATTTAAAGATTTTAATCATTATTTCGGATATGGGCAAATCCATAAAACTTTTGACTTTTAAGAATGAAATTTTTTTTTATTAATTTGTATGCACATGTCACTTTGCATACGTGTTCAAGAATGTTTTATCACTACAAATTCGTATGCCTGATTCATTTTTAACTCACGCCGCCAATGTTGAACACTTATTAATCTTTGTAAGTTTTTTTAAAGTTCTTCATATTTCATCAAAAATCTTAATACACTATAAGTAAGTTTGGCTCAGTGGTAAGACTTTTGATTACTCTGCCGTTTGAAATAAAAACTTAGTTAACTGACATTTATATCGAAACGAGAAAATAAGGAAAAACTGTTTGCTTTCAGAACCCTAATAAAAATTAAAAAATTGTTCAATTTAACTTCACATACTGGGTATAATGATGGTGTTCTATTTAATTATGAAATAAAAAATTAATTATTTAAACAAATTATATGGAAAAATGCACTTGCGTGTTTTTCCGAATTAGCGAAAGTTAGGTAAAGTCCTTTGCGTAGTGCTAAACAAAAAGGTACGCGAGCTCGGTCCTCTGATTTGATGTAAAAACTTACCTAACTGACAGTGACGTCATGTGGTAAGGGGGCAGCTGCTTGCGACCCGAGGACAAACCGAGTTTAGCCGAATGCAGTTAAGTAGTCGTTCGGCTCTGTCTCGACTGACTTTTTGATGGAAGAACTTAGGTAATTGCAAGCGTTGCAGATGCAAAGTTTTTATTTCAAATCCAACGCTCGGACTCGACTACTTATTTGATACAAAAAACACACAAATGCCTTTAACTAAGTTTTTCCTTCAAATCTTACATTCGAGCTCGTAGCCTCGTTTGTTTTTTGGACTACGCAAAGTACTTTCCTTAACTTTTTATCAAATATTCTTTCATTTTCTGCAATTTCTTAGATTTTTAATATTAATTTTTTACAAACAATAATTTGCAAAAAAAATTTAAACTATAACTATTAGACGCAGTTTTTTCTTACGAGTTCATTGATACCAAAAAACTCATTTTTCACAAAAATGTCAGTTAACTAAGTTTTTATATCACACGGCAGTATATAACTGTGCACAAGATTCAGGGTTCAAGTCCAGCTTTGTGAAATTTTTTTTTCTAAATAATAAAATTATTGTAATTTTATCTGAATATTACCATAACATTACGTTAATATTACAGAGTAATATTACCTTAATATTACTAAGTAATATTACCTTAATACACTGCAAAAAGAAGTATCTTAATTTAAGATGTTTTGGTAGTCATTTCTAAGATGTTTTGGTAGACACTTTTTAGTTACTTGAAACATCTTAATTTAAGATGTTAAAAGTATCTTTGTACACATTTTCTATGGTATTTTTGGGGCAAAAAGTTTTGAGGTTAACTATGGGCTCTTATGGAAAACACTTTATGTATCTTCGTTTTTAGTAACTTACACTTATGGCGCATCTTACGATTCTCAAGTAACTTATCGCTAAACATCTTATTGCAACAGAAACATCTTAATTTAAGATACTTTAAAGAACTTACAAAAGTATCTTACTTTTCTAAGATGGAAGAAATATCTTCATCACTGCTAAAACGTATAAAGCATCTTAAATATCAGTAAGATGCTTTAGAAAACATCTTATTTTAAGATGTAAGATACCATTCTTCCATCTTACATCTTATTTTAAGATATCAAAAAAGACACCTATTTTTGCAGTGTATTCCTATGTAATATTACATTAATATTACCATGTAATATTCTCTTAATATAACAACGTAATATTACTTCCAGGTGGACATTTTGATATCTTAGTAAGATCACTGTAATATTACTGTGTAATATGACGAATTTCCAATGTAATATTACAGTGATGTCAAGAGAAGCTTACTTGCTGCTTGGGTTTATTTTTATTACTATTTTGACTTGCAGAGTAAATTAAAGTTTAAAAGGAAACTACTTTTAAGTCCACTTTTTGGCTATTATCGGCTATTTTTAAGACTATACATATACATAACGACTTCATACAAGCCTTAGTACCGACTTTTTTAAGACTCTTTTTACAAACTAATTTTAAGTCTGGGATGACTACTTTTTGTTACATCTGAAAATTAGCTTGTTTGTAGACTTTATTGAAAACTTTTTTTTTATGTACCTATTGAAATGTATACCTGGAAAGGAATTTTTTTACTTATCCCAGTAAAAAAAGAAGTATTGAGTAGAGCGTTTAGGAATTGAGTGAAGCTCTGAGCCAATACGGATTCGAGTAAAAACCGTATTGGGACGTTTGACTCAATCTTTTTTTCATCCGCCGAATACGGTCTTATTTTAGCATTAAAATTAAAATCACATGAGCAGAGTACACATTATAAATTGAAAGCACAATTGTCCTGGAATGTAAAAATGCCGATTTCGATAAGAAACAGTGAATATTTGTTAAAAATTGGTGAAAGCAAAGTTTGACAAGCGCGACTGAATTTACCATGTGAATAAATGAAGTGGTAAGTTTAAATGGACGAAATGGACTAAAAGAAATCTACTTTTACCGACCGAAAGTTCCTAGAGAATCGTGGTAAATTCAACAAACAATGAAATTTGTCATTGTTTTACAATTCTCTAGGAACTTTCTGTCGGTAAAAGTAGATTTCTTTTAGTCCATTTAAACTTACCACTTCATTTATTCACATGGTAAATTCAGTTGCGCTTATCAAACTTTGCTTTTACCAATTTTTAATAAAAAATAAAAAATATTCACTGTTTCTTATCTAAATCGGCATTTTTACATTCCAGGACAATTGTGCTTTCAATTTATAATGTGTACTTTGGTCATGTGATTTTAATTTTAATGCTAAAATAAGACCGTATTCGGCGGATGAAAAAAAGATTGAGTCAAACGTCCCAATACGGATTTTACTCGAATCCGTATTGGCTCAGAGCTTCACTCAATTCCTAAACGCTCCACTCTATACTTCTTTTTTTACTGGGGTTCATAAGTAAATGTTTCCAAGAAATTAGTTAATATTATTAGAGTATATTATTAGCAGTCAATATTATTATTTTTTCAGCTGTTAGTCTGTGTCGCTGGCTGCATATTGGCACAGTTTCAAGATGGAGATTCACCACACAAAGGAACTAATACACCAAGAAGATTTAAACCACATACACCTCGAGTTACTCCCACTGCGCAGTCAGTTTTCGCCAACCAAAAATTTAGACGTCCTATACCTTTAAAGTAAGTTTTACTTAAATGTTACTGTTTGTCAAAGTTATTTTCAATTTGGCTGTTTCACTACATCGAGATATTTCGAGTTCGAGTATGATGTCAGATAGCTGGAAGGAAAACAAGCAGACGACACAATTCAATTCTTATTGGAGAAACAAATTTGGCATTTTCTTTTCAATGTTTTGCAAATTTAATGGATTTTAAACACTTTCTATCAACATAGGGGCCGTCCATATATTACGTAACGCTAATTTTTGAAAATTTTGACCCCCCCCTCCCCCCATGTAACACACTGTTACATACATTAGCGCCATTTTTTTGGCTTATCGTAACAAATAGCTTGACCCCCCCTCCCCCCAAAAAGTGTTACGTAATATATGGACGATCCCATATATGTAATTGAAACGAATTCTGTAAAATAATTGTAGTGAAATTAACACTTTACACTTCACAGGAACTTAAAAATATACTAAAATATGTTTTTAAGGTTAGGAACGTCTGTTTACCACTACTATCTCTATGTATAAAATAGTTGTAAACAAACGTTCCTAACCTCAAAAACATACATTTTAGCATATTTTTAAGTTCCTGTCCCAGATAACAATGCGTGCACGCATATTTTTTACCTATTGGTGCGCGCATAAATGCTTGCAAAAATGATTACTATAGATAAAGCTGCTTTGATCATTTAGTGCTTTCCATTAGCACGCACATTCAAGCGCATCACAAAAAATGCGCGCCAGGTGTATCTCCATGGAGGACAAATAATTATAAGCGCAGATATGACGCACGAATGTCTGCCTTATGTTTACCTACTGCACGCATTTTGTTAACTGGGGTGAAGTGTAAAGTGTTAATTTTACTACAGTAGAACCTCGGTTATCCGAGCCTCGATTATCCGAGATTCCGGATTATCCGAGGCACAAAACATGCTCGGATAATGCGGAATAACTCGGATAAAACGGATCGAGCGACTAAATTTGGAAAATAAATTTTACAAAACCACTATTTGTGATCATTGCATTTAAAATTTCGTCCATTTTTGTCATTTAATATTATTCTAACACTTTAAACACATGAAAAATAATTTTAAATTTTGAAATTTTCATTGGTTCCGTGTTATCCGAGTTTTCGATTATCCGAGGTACCTCTTCCCCACATTACCTCGGATAATCGAGGTTCTACTGTACTATTACTTTACAGAATTCGTTTCAATTACATTTATGTTGATAGAAAGTGTTTAAAATCCATTAAATTTGCAAAACCTTGAAAAGAAAATGCAAAATTTTTTTCTCCCATAAGAATTATCCCTATTGAAAATCACCATATGGGAAACCACATAGGAAACCACACAGGATCCTATCTCAAAAACCTTGTAAAAGCCTGCTTCCATTAAGGAAACCACGTGGTTTACTATGTGGTTTCCTAAGTCAAATCATATGGGAAATTGAGACACGATTTTAGTTAGGAATAGACATTGGGAATTTGAACAGTTCTTCTATGCATAAAACCATATGAATTCCCATGTGAAAAACAGTATCATTTATTTATAATTATTTTCCCAAGTCAATCCCCAAGTGAAAAACAGTATCATTTATTTATAATGATTTTCCCATGTCAAATCCTAAACAAAATCCCATGTGAAAAACATTATCCGCCTTATTGAATATCCCTACATGGGAATCCACTTGGAATTTTACAAGGGATTTCACATAGGATTTTATATGGGAATTGACATAGGATTTAATGCAAGAAATCACCTAGGATTTAATATGAGATATCACATACTATTTTATTAAAGAACCAATGATGAAATTTTCAAAGGATTAAAAATTATTTAATAAAAAATTAAATAATAAATAGTATTAGTGTTACAAGTCATCAAAAAAGTAAAAAAATCGATAATTTGAAACACGTACTCTGTGCACAGGTTCTCAGCTCTTATATACTTCCAGAATCGTCTCAACAGCGAGAGAAGTCACTTTCGCCACCTAGCGGTGAAAGTATAGGAGGGACAGTAATCTTTAACATTACTAAGGAAACCATGTGGAATACCTAAGTAAAATCCCATGTAAATCCCCACATAGAAAACCACATGGAATCCTACGTAGTATTCCACATGGTTTCCTTAGTAATGTTAAAGATTACTGTCGCTCCTATACTTTCACCGCTAGGTGGCGAAAGTGACTTCTCTCGCTGCTGAGACGATTCTGGAAGTATATAAGAGCTGAGAACCTGTGCACAGAGGACGTGTTTTAAATCATCGATTTTTTTACTTTTTTGATGACTTGTAACACTATAATACTATTTATTATTTAATTTTTTATTAAATAATTTATAATCCTTTGAAAATTTCTTCATTGGATCTTTAATACAATAGTATGTGATATCTCATATTAAATCCTAGGTGAAATCTTGCATGAAATCCTATGTCAATTCCCATATAAAATCCTATGTGAAATCCCTTGTAAAATTCCAAGTGGATTCCCATATGTAGGGATATTCAATAAGGCGGATAATGTTTTTCACATGGCATTTGGTTTAGGATTTGACATGGGAAAATTTAAAAAAAAGGAAAAAGGATTTCACTTGGGGATTGACTTGGGAAAATAATTATAAATAAATATGATACTGTTTTTCACATGGGATTTGGTTTAGGATTTGACTGGAAAAAACATGCAGGATTTCATGTGGGAATTCATATGGTTTTATGCATAGAAGAACTGTTCAAATTTCCCATGTCTATTCCTAACTAAAATCGTGTCTCAATTTCCCATATGATTTGATTTAGGAAACCACATAGTAACCCGGTAAGAAGCGTAGAATTCAAAAGAATTCAAAAGTTGTATTCTTCTTAATAGGCGAATTTACCTCGGAGCTCTATACCACGGGAACCATGAAAAATTCCAAAAAAATCTATTATTCTGAATTGACTTCACAAAAATATGAAACGCGTATTCAAAAGAATCAGAATCTACAGCAAATCAGTAGAAATTTCTATTCCACTGAATTGACTCACTACCACTCAAGATTCCACTAGAAAGTGAGGTTAGGTTTCAAAACTTGACAAACATTGAACATATGAAAATTCCTTTCAGTAAGAGCATTTTATAGTTTATCGTAAGCACTTTACGTTTTTAACCATATTTTCACTAGTTTTAATATTTAATTTTAATAGTTTAGCACTGAAATTACAATGAAATTCACACGACGCGAAATATAACTGTCACTGCGTTTTATTTTAAGACAATAACTAGAGAAGCTCCTATAGACAATTGGAAAGATTAATCTTTTCCAAATTGTTTGTCAAAAGTTGTATTCCTTTTAATGCGCTTCTGAAATTCGAAGCAGTTTATTGAGAAGAATAAACATTTCATATTTACTCGTCGAACATTCTATTCTTTTGAATTGACTACCTAGAATCGTTAGAAGTCAATTCAGTCAATTCAAAAGAATAGAACTCCATATTTTTTCAAGAACTTTTAATACCATAAAACTTTGCGCATTAAGAAAAATATAAAATTTGGATTCTTTTCTATCTGCAAATCGACGTGAGCAATAGAGAAGAATTGATTTTTCTAAAATTTTGATGGTTCCCGTGGAATAGAGCTTCGAGGTAAATTCGCGTATTCAGAATAATTCAAAATTCTCGTTTTCAAGCATATTTTCTGAAAATTAAATTCTTTTCTATTCTACGGTTCTTACCGGGAAACCATGAGGTTTCCTCAATGGAAGCAAGCTTTTACATGGTTTTTGAGATGGGATCATGTGTGTTTTCCTATGTGGTTTCCTATGTGGGGATTTTTAATAGGGTAGCTGATTACGAATCTGATGCCAGATTTTCAAAATTCGAAATGGCGGATCCAACATGACGAATGACAAATTTAACAACTAATTGGATTAGCTATTGAAACTCGTTACTTCGGGACCAGTAATAAGGGGTGAATTAAAGTGGATTGGTACTTTTATACCCTTAAATTCCAAACCAATTCCGTTTTTGTCAGCAATCTTAAAGAATTCCTTATCTATTGTTAAGTTGACAATTTCTATCCAATTCAAATCTCTGTAACGAGAATTTTGAATTATTCTGAATACGCGAATTTACCTCGAAGCTCTATTTCCACGGGAACCATCAAAATTAAAAAAAATAAATTCTTCTCTATTGCTCACGTCGATTTGCAGATAGAAAAGAATCCAAATTTTATATTTTTCTTAATGCGCAAAGTTTTATGGTATTAAAAGTTCTTGAAAAAATATGGAGTTCTATTCTTTTGAATTGACTGAATTGACTTCTAACGATTCTAGGTAGTCAATTCAAAAGAATAGAATGTTCGACGAGTAAATATGAAATGTTTATTCTTCTCAATAAACTGCTTCGAATTTCAGAAGCGCATTAAAAGGAATACAACTATTGACAAACAATTTGGAAAAGATTAATCTTTCCAATTGTCTATAGGAGCTTCTCTAGTTATTGTCTTAAAATAAAACGCAGTGACAGTTATATTTCGCGTCGTGTGAATTTCATTGTAATTTCAGTGCTAAACTATTAAAATTAAATATTAAAACTAGTGAAAATATGGTTAAAAACGTAAAGTGCTTACGATAAACTATAAAATGCTCTTACTGAAAGGAATTTTCATATGTTCAATGTTTGTCAAGTTTTGAAACCTAACCTCACTTTCTAGTGGAATCTTGAGTGGTAGTGAGTCAATTCAGTGGAATAGAAATTTCTACTGATTTGCTGTAGATTCTGATTCTTTTGAATGCGCGTTTCATATTTTTGTGAAGTCAATTCAGAATAATAGATTTGTTTGAAATTTTGGTTGTTCCCGTGGAATAGAGCTGCGGCGAGGTAAATTCGCCTATCAAGAAGAATACAACTTTTGAATTCTTTTTAATTCTATACGCTACTTACCGGGTTAACTTGTTATAATAGAGCAATTCCACGCCAAGTGATCATAAGAATTTTTGATGATTTTAGCAATATTAAAAATACTTTCAGAATTTGT